GTGGGAGCCCGTGCTCCAGCAGGAAGGCGTCCAGGTCCACGTACTCCACGTCGCCGAAGGGCAGCGTCCGCTCCCACAGCAGCGGCGCTAACAGACTCGGGCCAGGCGTGGCCGTCGGGCGCCCCCGGGGGGACCCGCCGCCCACCACCGCCCCAGCTGGGGCATCCGCCGGGCCCGCTGTCTCCAGGCCCGGCCCGGGAACCGTGGCTGCCGGCAGAGCCGCCTTGCGCTCCTTTTCCTTCAGGAGACCTGGGGGCCAGGAAGACCGGGCAGGGCAGGGAGGGAGAGGAAGGTAGACATGGAGAAGAGACCCCGAGTCAGAGAGACAAGAGCAAAGGGAGGACAGAGACCCACACGACGGAGATCCAGAAAAAGAGGGGACAGACGGGGTTGGGGAGAGACCGGAGAGGGAGGGGACAGAGACTCGGAGAGGGAAAAAGACCCATAGAGAAAGGTCAGAGACGGGGGCGGCAGATACACAGAGAGGGGGACAGAGACCGAGGGAGGGAGAGAAACTCAGAAAGAGGGGTCAGAGATGCAGAGAGAGATAGGGACAGAGACCCGGTAAGGGACAGACATAGAAGAGGGACGGAAGTTCAGACAGAGGTAGGTGGAGGGTTGGACAGGAGAGAAAAAAGAAGGCTCTGTGATTCCTCTGTAACCTACCCCCCACTGCGCACTGTACCCCGGCCTCCCTGCCCCCACACTCTGTAAGGGACAGGAAGGGGCTCTATTCCTGGGGCACATTCCTCATCCCTAGACTCCATGTGACCCCAAGAGGCCCCGCCCAAGCCCGTGTCACTACCGTGTGAGCATCAGACACACCCCCTCCCTCCTCCCTGGACCCCAGGGGTCCAGACTCTCGGAACCAAAGGGAAGAGGGGGATGGGGCCTAGATTCTTGGGTCCTCCGGGATGAGGACACTGGGGGGGAGGGGGGCCTGGACTCCTGGGTCCTTGGGCTTGACGGGCTTGAGGGCCGGCACTTTTGGGTCGTGGGTGCTGAGAGATCTGGGGACCTAAACACCTTAAGTTAAATGGGTAAAGGTTGGGAGGATGTTTTCTCCGAACGTAGAGGGTAGCTGTGGACCCCCCTCCCCAGCACCTGAGTCCCTAAGGGAGTAGGGTGTCTGAGTTGGGCGAGGTAGGGGCTAGAACTCACAGCTGGCTGGTTCTTTGGGCTTGCTGGTCCCCTGCAGAAGGCTCCGCAGCCCAAGCAGCGCTCCCCCGCCAGGGGGGGCCCCGGCCGGGCCGCCCAGCAGCAGGGGGGCCGGGGTCCTGTCGCTCACGGGCCGCGCCATCGCCGGGCACCTGCCCGCAGGCTTACGGGCTCATAGAGAGGCGAAGAGCTGGCCTGCCAGTCAGCGGTACACTCCTGTGGTTCGGGCGAGTGTCTGCCCAGGGGCGGGCGAGCGTAGCTTGCAAGATTCCAGTATCCAGAACAGTGCAAATCCTAGGAGCGACGGTGATTTGCAGTCCTCGCTGCAGAAACGTGCAACTCTAGAGGGTCCCAGGAGACCATGCAGTCTGGGTGAGGGAGTGATCAAATCAGGCAGCCAGCTCTTTGCAACAGAGGGTTTATGGGGACTCGAGGCGCTCCTTCTACAAGGTGGGCGAGCCTGGCTCTTCAAAATCGGCAGCTCTCAACCGAAGGCGCTTTGCAATCTGCACCAAGAGGTGTGCGCGGAGGGGCGGGGGAGGGGGCAGGAGGAGGCGGCCGCCTTGAGGCGTGGCCAAAGCAAACTTCTTTCGCGGAAAAAAAAATGCCAAACCAAAACACCCGATGCCTCAGCGAACACCCCTCCTTTCGGCCCCCGCCCGCGCATGCCCTGCCCCGCCAGCCTCCTGGGCCAGGCACCTCAGCCCCGTGCCTCCCTCGGGCCGAAAGTGCTGGCCAATTGCGTCCCTACCCCTCGAGACGCACAGCCAATGGGACCCCTGGATCCGCCAAGGCCCGGGATGCAGGAGGGGCCCAGTGCGTGAAGTTGCCTGGCCTTTGGGTGAGAGGCGGGACCCTGACCTACATTTGGCCAATGGAGACGGAGCTGGGGGCGGGACCGTGACCCAGTTCGAGCCAATGAGGCAGGCGGGAGGAGGAAGCACATGGCTCTGCGCGTGCTGCCTGACCTGGAGAGTGGGTAAGGGGGGAGGAAAGGGGCGGCTTAAAGGAGCCGCATATCCAAACGACTGTTTGGGAAACAGGAAGCCAAAACCCGAATAGTGAGGTTTAGCAAAAGGGAAATTGGTTTCTAGAAGAAAGTCGCTATTCTCCAATAGCCGGCCGCGCCTAGAATCAGACCACTGAGAAACAGGAAGTATTCGGTCCCTTTAATAGCTTGTTTTCGGGGTGACTCCCCTCCTCTCTTGGGTAGGGTTGGGAAGGGCAGGCGCAATCCTCGATGGGGAGTCTCAGCGACCGTGGGGGGCACCATCCACTGTAAGACATACGACACGGATTGCGGACGTTAGTTTAGGGCACGGTAGGATGGACTGCGCAGGGGGCGTGCAGGGGGCGGGGGCTGGGCCGCGTAGGGCTCTACCACCCGGAGGCTGAGAAGGGGGAATCGGAATATACCAGGTTGAGAAGCTGGGAGAAATGGTCCGGCAGTGGGCCGAGCCGTAGGGAGGCAGCAGGAAGGTAGAATAGGGACGTTCAGTTTCAGCATCTGGCTGAACTACGTGAACGTATTTTTGAGCGGAGGGGGGACCTGGACTGTTCCATGTTTGAGAAGCCAGAGAGGTGGCGGTTTAGATCTCAGGGCTGAACCGAGAGGAGGGAGTAGGAAGGGAAGGAGATTGAACCATTTGATTCTAGGTAGGGGGGAGCTGTCAGGTTATGGAACAGCATAGGGTTATACCACATGGAAACAGAAAATGGATCTGGATTCTACCACTTTGGAAAGCCATAGTTATAAGAACAACGGACCAATAGTTATTCGTACCGTAAAGAAACCCTGGATCTTGGGATATATACCAAGTTGCAAGTTACAAGCAGCGAAGAGGAAAGACAAATCATGGACCAGCGATGGTCTATGGTGGGGAGGTGGACTGTAGCACGTTGACACATGGGTGGGGGGGAGCGATTGAGAACTCAGGAGGCTGGACCATACAGCAGCAGCAGAGGGTAGGACTTTATCATACTGACAGACCAAGGGGAGACACATAGGGGAGTTAGACCAAGATGTGGTGGGGGGTGCAGACTGGACCATACCATGCAGGCGGTAGTTGGGGCCTCGGCAGCGCCTCTCGGGGTGCCGGGGGTCCCTGTTGCCCCTCAGGGCCCTGTGGGCCAAGGGCTGTAGGGGCCGGCCGTTACCGCTGAGGCTCTGGAAGATCTGGGATGGAGGATTCTGGCTCAGGATTCTCAGGGAATGCATCTGCCACGGGAGGGGAGGGGTGGTGACGTCACACAGGAAGTCCTGTCCCAGGGAGTGGATGAGAGGGGCCTTACTCAGCTCCACCCCAGCCCCAAGGGTCATCTGACCCTGACCTTTGCAGTTTCCAGTCAACATGGGAAGGAGGGTGGGTGAGGCAAGGGGGG